CCGCATAAAAATAATGATGGGACATATTCTTCAAACCGGATTTTGTGCAGTGCAACAATTATACATCACATTTTATAACCCTCGATGTAAACAGGTGTATATTAGAACAAGAAACGTTTTAGCAAGTCCCGCTGAACATGCCGTGTTGTATAGCAGAATGTTTCGTAATTTAGCTACAAGTAAAGGAAGAAACTAACTTCGTTTACACATTAGGCCACCGTTTAAGCGAAAATAAGTTCTTTAAGGGGATTCTCTTTTCAAAAAAGCAACATTTTGGCCAAATCTCAGTTTCGATACTCTGTTTTACCTTGCTCGAATACCGGGAGGAAATTTTCGGAGGTAAGTTGTGTTAAAGAGTTGATTGAAGCTCTACTGTTGAAACTCACATAATGGTGCTCGCATCAGATCCAGTATTTCATACAATGAGCCACCAGGTGATCGCGTTGTTTCGTCTTCTTTGTCCGACAGATTTTAAACTGTTCTTTTAGCCGCAACCAATTTCTCATCAACGTCTTGTGGCAGTTGTTACGATCTTTGACTGTTTTCTGCAGGGTCATTTTGATGACCAGTTTCAACTCGCAGTCTTACTGTTTATTTTTAACGATATTTTTCGCATTAAGCAAAGCAAATGCCAATCAAATTTTTATGTTCATTTCGGTCAGCTGTTTTGAATATTTCCGGGATTTCTTATTCCCGACGCTTTACATTATCTTTATCTTGTGAAATAAACTGAATCGTAAATAGCGGCTGTGTAGGCAACAACAGCGCTACATAGTCACCTAGGAAATCAAACAAAAGCATTCCAACTTCAATAAACGTAACTGAAATCAAAGGGTGACGCAGCTTATTTCATAGCGGTGGTTGACCTATGGGAAATAATATGAAGATAACATGGACGAGTTAGTTTAACAGTTAATGGTCTTCTTAAGCTGACCATACTGAAAGATAGACTGCAAGATACAGACACACAACACGAAGGTGTTTTACCATTCTTCCATTTTATTTTGTGTTCCGCTCCTGAGGACCCTGCTACACCGCGCAACGTACGTGGCCCAAGCTAAAACGATCGTTACACTCTTTACATAAAGAAGTTAATCACTACTGTATGAGCCACTCAGTTATGCGCCTTGATTTAATAAATTATTATTTTTGGAGTATAAGGCATGAAAAACATTAAAAACCTAAACTAAAGCTTATCGATAGTTAGACTCAACACATTGGTTGAGTATCGAAAAATATAGTCAAAAGCATGTTTTAGGATTGCGGGTGCTTCTGTAAACCCTGAATATGCTGACCCAGTGAGCGAAAACTTGAGCCCTCCCGGTTGACGGTCTTAAGCGTGATTTTATGCCCTTGTGTATATCAATTCGAAGATAGTCTACGGCACCCATGGAGCCATTTTAAAAGAACATATCATGTAAGAGACCTAGAAGTTTTGAGTACATCCACAAGAAAATTGTGTGCCAACGACAATCGGATCCTGTGTAATCTATCTGGAGAACTTTCAACGAATTACAAGTGCATGTCCTAAGATTACTGTGCTAATCCAACATCTAACCCAAACTGGAGTACGACGGTGGAGTGATATCCCCCAGCACAGCTGCTGAGTTGAAGCCCATACAACCTTCCGCCTCTCAAGTAACTTTCGAACTGAGTAAGACCAGCTACAAAGGTACTTTGCGGGGCGTCTTTTTGGTTTCAACTGTGTATCGTTGTGCACAAGGGAATTCGACATACGTGAAGAAGCTTCATCACCAATTCTCTTTAGTTATTTAGCAACGCAAGCGGAACACTCCCAGGTTGACAAAGTCAGTGAGTCTGTCGTTTATCTATCGACTATTGGAGAAGATGATCAATCTCCAGTATAACTAAAAGGAGAAGACGACCGATAATGAGTTCGAGTGTACATTGGACAGATATTTACCTCCAAATGATTCGATTTGGTCAGGGACGGATAGAATGGCTTACAACTGGTCACCCTGCCTTTACATTACTCCAGATCATTCTATGCAACCAATAGCCTTATTTAGCCTATACTTAGGAATCCCGAGTTACTGCCTTTATTTTACGGATGCACTGGCCTGAAAATAGTGGGGATGAAAAAAATGAAAAAACCCTACATCTTGTCCGTGAACCCCTGACAGTTCACTTGATGGAATTAGCATTATACCATGAATCTAAACTAATTAAAAAATGTGTGTAAACCACAACCATTCTTTCCGTGTTGTGCTCTTGAGCACCAGCTTCATTAAACACTGAGTTGATTTGGCATCTTAGGAGTTTGACATCGTCCGAAATTCGTATTAACCGACTAACTGGAGCTTTCTGATAAATGATACTCGGAATATATACATAACTGTACGCTATCAGATGCATCCGCGGGTTATGAATAGAAGAATGCCCTAACCAAGTGGTACCTGCAAATAAGTCATGGCTTGCTGTGACCAAGAAGCAGCTGCGAACAAACAACGATGGCACTACCACAGCATAGTGAGTAGGAGGTTGGTAATCAACCTCTAAACAAAATCTCAATGATGATTCAGCGGTACAAGTTGACAACTTTTCAATCGGGAAGACTTGTTTTCTGATACCAACACCACCACTTGAATTTCTCTATTTTTCGTGTGAAGCACGAAAGCCAGTAATTTAACAGCTTCCTCTTTCCGAAAATTCTATCACTTTATACTCAATTAAAAGAAGTTCAAATAAAACATGGAAGAGATCAGTAAAGGTTTCCTGACAAAGACTGATGTACGTGGCCTGTGACAAATGCAGCCACTGACCTCCTGACACAAGTGAAAGTAAAAGTGAAACCCACAGCTTCCTTCTTATTAACTGACCTCCAAAGGCTTTAGGGACCTAATCTATCGCGGTCAATGAAATAAGAATCTACTGCTACCCATCTGTCTCTCTCCAAGGATCATGGTCCCCTGGGTATGACTGCTCAACTAGCTTATGAACCACTTTGGTAACCTGCAGTAATGGAATTGCAGCTCTCTACCCGTTGACGTCGCCTTGCACGTAATCTTTAAATATCCGAAGGCTCCGTATGGAACTCCCTACAAAGCTCCCATAACCAATTTAGCCAGATGGAAAGTATGTTGCCGAGAGTGGTGCTGAAGACGTAACCTATACCGAATTCCAAAGACGTTTCAGGCATAAAGGTTCTACTGAGCTGCAAATAGATGCCACGGCGTCTTCATGAAGCAACGTGCCTTGCAATCTCCCAGTGGCAAGGGAGTTTAGCATTGGAGCCGGGAATCTCGGCACAATAACAGATTTTTAAACTGCCTGCTGAACTGTGCACACTTTCTTGGATACTGAGTGTAAGTGCATCACGGTGCACACGGCGCACACCATGATTACTGGGTGGATACTTCTTGCCTATTGAAGTTGCATTTAGTGAACTAAGGAGTGCGACGGGTAAAATTGCTTCGCGTGGATCCCTCCTACCCGCTAAATTGCAGCGGGTTAAATGCTAATTACAGTCGTCGTTGGTTTTCTTTTGCGCTAAGCGATCTCAAAGCGCCCTGATCTCATGGCGACCTGCCAGCCCTACGATCACCGTAGTCCGGTTATATCAGTCTACATGTTAACGTTATTGGCAGATGCGTCTTCCAAAGATGAATTCTACTAGCAGCTCAAAAGTATCAAACATTGAATACCCATACATGATTTTCTCATCCTCGCAGGATACTGGAGCACGCTCAACAATCAATCGTATGATTGCACAAGGCGTATCTTTGGCTAGTTTGGACATAGTAGCCTATATGAAAACGGTAAACGTTTAGTAAACCTAGCGAACTGCAACTGACTGGTAGTAACCAACACTCGTTTTTAACATCACAGGAGTCATTTGCTCTCCTGATACTCTAACGATGGTAGAACAGTAAATCAGATTGACCACATCTTGTTAAGGTCTCGTTGTGCATCGTTGGTTAAATACTGCAGAGCCTACCGCAGTGTGAAAAGCAGGACCGCTAAGGGCACTGATCATATTCTTGTTAGTACCTGCCTGGAGATTCATGCGACCACTTATCGTAAGCTCTCTGTTAAGAGCAAGATCAACGTCATTTGACCGCAGTTTCCAAGAAAATCCGAGACCAATTACCGCGCTGTCAGCTCAAACCTAGCTATAGTCTCCTTGACCAAGGCGACACTTGAAGGTCAATAGGGCGTACCGAAAACCATTGGCATGGCTGGGAGTAACTTTTAGTAGAAGTAATCGTTGTTACAAAGCAAATAAGTTGCATCTGTCCACGAAGGCAATAGAATGGCACCTAAGAGACTCTTCTAATTTTTGTCACCTTTGTTATACAAACACTGGTTTTGCTGGGATACTTAGTAACTGTTGGAAAATAATTGCCAATAGCATAGAAGTTTTAAGTGTCGCTGTTTCTCTTTGACAACATTGCATCAGATAAATATTATCATTTGAGTCTTAGCTTCGTAATGCTACTGGTCGAATAATTTAGTGTCCACCAGAAACTACAAAGGTAAGTCAAACTTTTCTATCATTTTCTCACTTGTTCATCCTCCCAAAGGGGTTACCCAGTGAGAATGAAATTTTTAGGTACATAGGAAATCAGATGTCATCCGGCCAATAGGATCAAACTAACCACAGTTGTGCGACGGACCTAAAAGAAAAGTCCTTTGTAGAGGATGTAATACATCCGGAAACATACGATGCCTGCCTGTTTAGCCTGTTCTACTGACTGTACACCTTGTTTCCTGTAGTGTATGCACATAAAATTTTACAAAAGACTAAAACGCCTCCGTCCTGCTTCTCATCTGGAAGAAATGGAATAACACATTATTTGCAAACCATGGTGGCATCAACTTAATTGATTCAATCTTTGAGATGGTGCTGCTAAAGTTCTTTGCAGACAGAGCAAAAGAGGCCTTTCTACAGCATTTTAAATCACTAAGGATGCGTAAGGAGATTAGCCTCCGGGCCAAACTACTTCTAAAATAAGCTGACATTTGTTCCACCCTAACATATGACTACGAGATCTGTTTACAGTCACGATCATTGTTGTCTAATAAACATTTTGAAGCAATCTGGTTGTGAACGTTACTGCAAGATTGGGGTAAGTTGCTATCAACCGACATCACGTTTCTTATGAAAATACCAAACAAAAGGCTTCCATGAAAGTTTTAAGAAGTACCTGACAATTTGCAAGAAGAAACGCCGAGCCTCCAGGGAGTCGAGAAAATTGAAGAATTTGCCGAAAGGATCTTAAGCGGTAGTCCGCTTAGATATGACGCCACCGCCACGGATTTAATTCACACTTTTGTCAATTATGTAGCATTTTTGCGGAGAAACCAGTAACATCAATGCACTAATCTAAATTTTTATTTAGTGATACTCGATAAAATATTTAGGTTTATTGTTAGTAGTTTATGTTTATCTCAATCGATGCCAACACCATTACATGAATAAGAAAGTAATTTTGAATGTACTACAACTTACAATAGCTTGCCCTATTTTAGCAAGAGTACAAATACACCGTCAAGCGAAACGATGGAATTAAGCAAATATGCATTTAGGAAATTAAAACTTAAAGGCTATTTCCAGTATGTTTTCAGTTAAACTACGCTTACTTCTTACCTGTCAACAAAAATACACTACACTCTAAACAACGTAATCCGCAAAGTGCAAGGAGAATTCATAAACTTGAAAAAGCATTTCATGAATGCTGGTACTACTAACATAATGCCAGTCGATTTGTAAATCAAAGATTAATGGATAAATGGGGAACCATTTGGTTTAAGGTAATTTGGTGAGTTACATGATAATATTTAACCCTAAAACTTCCCCGAGTAATACATTGCTCAGTTTGATGATCGACTGACAGAAGACTGCACCAAAGCTATCTAACGGACTTCGTTGAACGACTCTCTTCTGGTTGCTATCAACTGACTTGGAATAAACGACAAATTGAAGCTAGTGGAAAATCAAATCTGCAAAGTCATTATTGCTGAGTCTCTGATTTGAGAATAACTTACATTTCCTACAATATGTGGATGTACTAATACAAGTTTCCAATAGGATCTTGGCAACACAAAATCCGTGGGCTTTATTTCACCATCCACAGATAAGTGTATAAATAATACTATTATATATTACCAAAATGCAATCATTATTTTTTATCATTTTTACATTTTTACATTTTACCATTCCAGGGAACCAACGAAGAAAAAACCATTATTTCTTGTTCACATTTATCTTTTTGAAAAATATCATACATTTCAATACTATTTTATTAACCCAGTGCTGCTGTCAATGATTTTAATCAATTATTGTAAGTGATCTGTGTCTCATTGAGTTTGTTGGGTTAGTATGATAGCACAGGCGCATTATTCATTCAGGTTTTGTTTATAAAAGCGACTGATACCATTGTAAGGGTGTTGTTTATCTTTGAGACACCTACAAACATTTAGCCCTAAACTTATGCTTATGTGCATGATCCTCTTTGAACATACATCGAGTGTTTATTTTAGAGTTATAACCAGCCCATGGTATAATTCAAGTCAGCAGGTCACGTCAAGTTAGGTCCCAAAACCTGCGGCTTCAGTCAACATAGGTTCACATTCTTGCACTTCGTGCTTTGTGTCCCCGCCCTGCTTCGACTGTTAAAAGTCCCTTCGGTTTAACTCATCTGCAGTAGCTGGATGCGGGTGCAATCTTTCCCGTACACTGGTATTCTATACTGTATATATATACATATATATATGTATGAATATATACATGTATGAATACATATATATGTATTTATTGATTATCAGCCAAGTTCGGAATTGGTTTAGTTTATACCTATATGGATCGACGTACAAGAGATCAATATCAGTGGCAGGGAGTACTAGAAGAGGGGTAAAATAATCTGAGGTACTGAAACTTCCCTCAAAGTGTGTTTACCACAAAGCCCTCTCTCAATACCTTTTTCGTGCTTACCCATTCATCCCATTTATGGTTATCTACAATCCTTGTGCTAACATTGCGGATCAGCCTGAGTTCAGCTATGCACAGACAAGCAAGCAGAAAACATTAAATTTATTAACCTTTGTCTTGTGTAGTTGATAACCTTGACTGTTTAATCGCATGCAGGTTGAAGAGCAACGTTGGGGTACGCTGCTTAACAATCTACTAGGCGTCTAATGTGGCAGCACCCAAAGAAATACCAATGCCCTAGTGGTAATGGTGATTATTCTGTCCGCATGCTGCACGGCAGCAGCTTAACGTCGTTGAGGATTTAGCATAAGACGTCCCTGTTGCAGCTCTCCGGAAGCCTAGTTAAACTCAACATGGATTGAGGGTGGTGGTGGTGGTGTTCGTCGTGGTCGTGTTCGTCGGCGTCGTCCTATCTTTCTTCTTCTTGGTCGTCGTCGTCGTCCTATCTTTCTTCTTCTTGGTCGTCGTCGTCGTCGGGTATTGGCCTTCTGATTACCATGGGCCAGCCCGAACCGCAACCTGTTTTAGGTCAAAACAGCCCCTTTCGTTTCCTTCGAATCTCTTTCTTATGTTAGTCCGCTTAGTATTTGACACAGCGGCTCAGAGATGTGGTTGCCTTGGTGACCGTAGTTGGTCTTTCTATCCTCAATTCGCACTTTTTTGTCTGGTAGTGCTGGGTTAATTTGGAGTTTTCTTCTTTTGGAGATTTCCCATAAGCTTTAGCGTTAATGCACTCAACGTGTCAGATGCACCCTCACTAAACCTAATGGGGACCAGTGTCTCCTTTTTGGATCAGTGGAGATGAAGCTAATTATTGAAGTCAGCAATTTAAAACCTTTATGCGGATCGTCTAATTAAACTTGAGCCTAAGCTCGGTATCATGTATCAGCTTTCATATATAATATTATCTAAAATAATATATTATTATGATTACAATATTTATGTAACACATATTGATATAATAACCTTATCTATCTATATCGTTTATCTAGATTACATATGCTATATATATGGCGCCATATATATATATATATATATATATATGCATATATGCGCATATATGCTGTATATGTACAGCATATATGCCACATATATGTACCTTTACACAGCCGCTGTGCTAGCAGATTCCGCCGTAACATTTCGCAAAATCTTCCACGCGATTATACATTTCATTAATCCAATCAAAACTCACCGGTGAATAACTCGATAAATTTCGAGAAGCTTCCTTTTTCTCTGAGCGTCACTTTGAAATCTCCTTCATAACTTGTCCCGTATTTAAGAGCAGCAAAATTCAAAGTACCGACGTTGTCCGTTGAAATTCCTTTAGTTTTTGTCTCTGGGTGTAACTTCTCAATTAGAACACCTTCAAATGCTTCAATCTCATTCTTCGTATCTAGGACAGTAGCGACGACCGAATTTCTTTCAACAGTTGTGGTGATATATGTGGACATTTTCGAAAAACGTAGACTTTCCAGTAAATTCGCTGATGACTTGTATTGTAGGCATAAAATCAGTAAACAGAAGACATTTTGCGTCCTTTTGTTCAATACAATCATGCTCATGCAGGAAGCTCCCCTTCTGAATTATTTAAAAAGTCAGAGACGGACACATATGAACGATTCAAGGCGGGCACCTAAAGCCAGCGTTGGAGATCGATTCCGTCGTACCCGAAAACCAAAACACAATTTAAAAACATGCTGATGTGAAGGTCAGATCAGAACAGGTCAGGTCAGGTCAAGTTAGGTCACAGGACTTGTGGCTCGAGCCAATATTTGTCCAGATTCTTGCACCCTGAGCTTCATGTTCTGGTGGTCAGGTTCTCGTGGACAGATCACAGGACTTGCGGCGGAGCCAGAAGCAGTCCAGTTTCTTGCACCAATGAGCTTGGGAGCACCACGGCGCTGCGACAATTGTATTATTTCGTTCACGTAGGCGTGGGTGGGTGCGGTTCTGGAAAAGGAAAACGCACTTCTGATGGTTCCTCTGAGTGACAGTACACGTCTGAGGTTTTACCAGGATCAAAGCAACAGCTCGCAACCAACCACTCCGAGCTACCCAGAGTAAAAGGTGTGTTGGGAGAAGAAGTATGTCCTAAAAGTGGTGGTGCTGTATGTTGAGAAGTTTCAGTAAAATGTGGTGCACAGTGAATAAAAAAA